GAGTTGGTGAGGGAGTTGGTGAGGGAGGTGGTGAGTTGGTGAGGGAGGTGGTGAGGAGTGGTGGTGAGGGTGGTGAGGGAGTTGGTGAGGGAGCTGGTGAGGGAGGTGGTGAGGGAAGTGGTGGTGAGGGAGGTGGTGAGTTGGTGAGAGAGTTGGTGAGGGAGCTGGTGAGGAGTGGTGGTGAGGAAGTTGGTGAGTTGGTGAGGGAGGTGGTGAGGAGTGGTGGTGAGGGAGCTGGTGAGGGAGCTGGTGAGAGAGTTGGTGATGTTGACGTTCTTGTTGACGTTCTTGTTGACGTTCTTGTTGACGTTCTGCTATCAGCTACCGATGGCTTCCCTCACTGGGCGCCGCCATCTTTACACCCTGGTCACGTGACATCCGCCGGAAGTCGCGGATCGCTTGACCGTGGACCGCGGCCTCTGTCTGACAATGCTTTCGCGTCGCCTCACCAACACGGTGGGGGGGGGACGGGGGTGGATTGAAAATCGCGACTTTTGTCTGACAAGCCCATGGTCACTCCCCGCCCCCCCAAGAGGAGTTGGCGACTGACCGTGGCTATGGGATGAGGGACAGTGGTTGCTCCCTCCCCGCACTTAGGTCGCAGAAATGAAAATCGGTGCTTCTGATGAAACCTCTGTTTGTTGCAATGGAGCGCGGGTAATTAATTCTATTTTTTGGCACAGTCGCGAGGCAGAGGCGAATGAAAATCAGCGACTTCTGTCTCGGGCCAATGATAATTATTATTGATGGCAGGATTGGCAATGGACCAGATATTTAATGTGTGACGCGTTACCAATTCTGCTTAAGCCTGAGCGAATGAAAATCTGTGCTGCTGTGGAATAGCAATACAGCAGTAACCTATTGTTGGCAGTGGACCATTGATTTAATTATAACGGGTCACCGAGTTTGCTTAAGCCTTGGAGAATGAAAATCGGTGCTACTGTAGAATTAAAATACAGCAGTAACTTATTATTGGCAATGGACCAAGAATTGAATTATAACGGGCAAACGAGTTCGCTTAATATTCTTGGTTCGTCCGGTAAAGTCACCACGTAGAAGGGAAACAATAAAATAAAAATTATAAAACAATAAAATTATTGTAAAACAATAAAATTATTATTCTTGGTTCTTCCGGTAAAGTCACCACCACGTAGAAGGGAAACAATAAAATAATAAAAATATAAAACAATAAAATTATTGTAAAACAATAAAATTATTATTCTTGGTTTTTCCGCTAAAGTCACCACCACGTAGAAGGGAAACAATAAAATAATAAAAATATAAAACAATAAAATTATTGTAAAACAATAAAATTATTATTCTTGGTTCTTCCGGTAAAGTCACCACCGCGTAGAAGGGAAACAATAAAATAATAAAAATATAAAACAATAACAATTATCGCAAAACAATGAAATTATTATTCTTGGTTCTTCCGGTAAAGTCACCACCACGTAGATAGGGAAACAATAAAATAATAAAAATATAAAACAATAAAATTCTCACGACGTTTCGACTGCAACACAAGCAATCATCATCAGGTGTGAAAACCACAGCAAGAAAATTTTAAAAAGTGGCGTTTTGTTTTTAACGTTAGCACCACGGAGAGCGATTTGACAGTTTGTTCAGATGGACGAGTCCATCTATGTTCGGAAAAGAGGAGGGGGGAGACGAAAATAATGGATGCGTTCTGAAAGCCACCTTAAGCGTGAAAAATCAATTAAGACCCGAAATGGTTTATCAAATCCTTCCAATGATTGCTAAGCCCAGAATCCATCTTCTCGGTTGAAATTGTCTTTGCAAGCCATCTGGCTACCATGAGAGAGATTCGTTTGTGAGGCTATCCACATATACAAAACACGGAGACAATTTCAACCAAGAAGATGGATTCTGGGCTTAGCAATCATTGGAAGGATTTGATACACCATTTCGGGTCTTAATTGAGTGTTCACGCTTACGGTTACCATGAGAGAGATTCGTTCGTGAGGCTATCCACGTATACAAACACAGAGACAATTTCAACCGAGAAGATGGATTCTGGGCTTAGCAATCATTGGAAGTATTTGATAAACCATTTCGGGTCTTAATTGAGTGTTCACGCTTACCATGAGAGATTCGTTCGTGAGGCTATCCACGTATACAAACACGGAGACAATTTCAACCGAGAAGATGGATTCTGGGCTTAGCAATCATTGGAAGGATTTGATAAGCCATTTCGGGTCTTGATTGATCACGCTTACGGCTACCATGAGAGAGATTCGTTCGTGAGGCTATCCACATATACAAAACACAGAGTCAATTTCAACCGAGAAGATGGATTCTGGGCTTAGCAATCATTGGAAGGATTTCATAAACCATTTCGGGTCTTAATTGATTGATCACGCTTACGGTTACCATGCGAGATTCGTTCGTGAGGCTATCCACATATACAAACACAGAGACAATTTCAACCGAGAAGATGGATTCTGGGCTTAGCAATCATTGGAAGGATTTGATAAACCATTTCGGGTCTTAATTGATTGATCACGCTTACGGTTACCATGAGAGATTCGTTCGTGAGGCTATCCACGTATACAAACACGGAGACAATTTCAACCGAGAAGATGGATTCTGGGCTTAGCAATCATTGGAAGGATTTGATCAACCATTTCGGGTCTTAATTGAGTGTTCACGCTTACCATGAGAGATTCGTTCGTGAGGCTATCCACGTATACAAACACGGAGACAATTTCAACCGAGAAGATGGATTCTGGGCTTAGCAATCATTGGAAGGATTTGATAAACCATTTCGGGTCTTCATTGATTGTTCACGCTTACGGTGGCTTTCAGACCGCATCCATTATTTCTCGTCTCCCCCCTCCTCTTTTCAGAACATAGATGGACTCGTCCATCTGAATAAAATGTCAAATCGCTCTCCGTGGTGCTAACGTTAAAAACAAAACGCCACTTTTTTCAAATGTTCTTGCTGTGGTTTTCACACCTGACGATGATTGTTGCTTTGTGTTGCAGTAGAAACTATCGTGAGAATTTTATTGTTTTATATTTTTATTATTTTATTGTTCTATATTTTTATTATTTTATTGTTTTATATTTTTATTATTTTATTTTTTAAATTTTTATTATTTTATTGGTTTATATTTTTATTATTTTATTGTTTTATATTTTTATTATTTTATTGTTTTATATTTTTATTATTTTATTCTTGATGATTGCTGCTTTGTGTTGCAGTAGAAACGTCGTGAGAATTTTATTGTTTTATATTTTTATTATTTTACTGTTTTATATTTTTATTATTTTATTGTTTTATATTTTTATTATTTTATTGTTTTATATTTTTATTATTTTATTGTTTTATGTTTTTATTATTTTATTGTTTTATATTTTTATTATTTTATTGTTTTATATTTTTATTATTTTATATTTTTATTATTTTATTGTTTAATATTTTTATTATTTTATTGTTTATATTTTTACTATTTTATTGTTTTATATGTTTATTATTTTATTGTTTTATATTTTTATTATTTTATTGTTTTATATTTTTATTATTTTATTGTTTTATATGTTTATTATTTTATTGTTTTATATTTTTATTATTTTATTGTTTTATATGTTTATTATTTTATTGTTTTATATTTTTATTATTTTATTGTTTTATATGTTTATTATTTTATTGTTTTATATTTTTATTATTTTATTGTTTTATATGTTTATTATTTTATTGTTTTATATTTTTATTATTTTATTCTTGATGATGATTGCTGCTTTGTGTTGCAGTAGAAACGTCGTGAGAATTTTATTGTTTTATATTTTAATTATTTTATTGTTTTATATTTTTATTATTTTATTGTTTTATATTTTTATTATTTTATTCTTGATGATTGCTGCTTTGTGTTGCAGTAGAAACTATCGTGAGAATTTTCTTGTTTTATAATCTTTATTATTTTATTGTTTTATATTTTTATTATTTTATTGTTTTATATTTTTATTATTTTATTGTTTTATATTTTTATTATTTTATTGTTTCCCTTCTACGTGACTTTACCGAAACAACCAAGAATGTGAATCCCTGCAGTCACGAAAGCTTTAAATCGGAGTTCGCTTAAGCTTGAGCGAATGAAAATCGGTGCTTTTGTCGAATAGCAATACAGTAGTAACCTAATCGTGGCAGTGGACCATAGATTAAATGTGACGAGTAACCCAGTTCGCTTAAGCCTGAGCGAATGAAAATTGGTGATTATATCGATCAACAATACAGCAGGAATCTCCGTCATTGGCAATGGACCATGGAATAAATATAACGAATGCCGTCTCAGGCCAATGATAATTGATGGGAGGTTGGCAATGGACCATAGATTTAATCGTGTCACGAGTAACCCGGTTCGGTTAAGCCTGAGCAAATGAAAATGTATGCTTCTGTGACGTAAAAATACAGCAGTAACCTATTGTTGGCAGTGGACCATATAATTAATGTGGCGAGTAAGCGAGTTCGCTTAAGCCTGGGCGAATAAAAATCTGTGCTTCTGTAAAATAGCAATTCAGTAGTAACCTATGGTTGGCAGTGGACCACACATCTAACGCGTGACGACTAACCAATTCACTTGAGAGTTCGCGAATGAAAATCGGCGCTTCTGTCAAACACCAATACAACAGTAATCCCGCCTGTTGACAGTGGACCAGATATTAAATATATGACGAGTGACCAATTCGCTTGAGACTGTGCGAATGAAAATCGGCGCTTCTGTCAAACACCAATACAGCAGTAATACCACCTGTTGGTAGTGGACCAGAGATTTAAAGTGTGACAAGTGACCAATTCGTTTGAGACTGTGCGAATAAAAATCGGCGCTTCTGTCAATCACCAATACAGCAGTAATCCAACCTACTGGCAGTGGACCAGAGATTGAATGTGTGACGAGTGAATAATTCGCTTGAGACTGTGCGAATAAAATTCGGAGCTTCTGTCAAAGACAAATACAGCAGTAATCGCGCCAAACCAACGCCCCCCCCCACGCCCCCCCCACTATCGCCCCATAAGCCCCGCCCCTTTCGCGCATGCGCAGAAAGGCGCTTCCGAGTGTTGGGAACTGGGAGATCGAGGTGAGAGAAATTGACGGTCAACATCAACAACATCAACATCACTCAACATCAACAACATCAACATTAACAACATCATCATCACTCATTAACAACATTAACAACATCACTCAACATCATCACACAACATCAACAACATCAACATCATCAACATCACTCATCACTCAACATTAACAACATCATCATCACTCATTAACAACATTAACAACATCACTCAACATCATCACACAACATCAACAACATCAACAACATCAACAACATCAACATCAACAACATCAACATTAACAACATCACTCAACATCAACAACATCAACATTAACAACATCAACATTAACAACATCACTCAACATCAACAACATCAACATTAACAACATCAACATTAACAACATCACTCAACAACATCAACAACATCAACATTAACAACATCAACAACATCAACATTAACAACATTAACAACATCACTCAACATCATCACACAACATCAACAACATCAACATCACTCATCACTCAACATCAACAACATCAACATCACTCAACATCACTCAACAACATCAACATTAACAACATCATCATCACTCATTAACAACATTAACAACATTAACAACATCACCACTCAACATCAACAACATCAACATTAACAACATCACTCATCACTCAACATCAACAACATCAACAACATTAACAACATCATCATCACTCATTAACAACATTAACAACATCACTCAACAACATCAACAACATCAACATTAACAACATCATCATCACTCATTAACAACATTAACAACAGCACTCAACATCATCACACAACATCAACATCATCAACATCATCAACATCACTCATCACTCAACATCAACATTAACAACATCACCACTCAACATTAACAACATCAACAACATCACTCAACATCATCACACAACATCAACAACATCAACATTAACAACATCAACATCATCAACATCACTCATCACTCAACATCAACAACATTAACATTAACAACATCATCATCACTCATTAACAACATTAACAACATCACTCAACATCAACAACATCAACATTAACAACATCACTCAACATCATCATCACTCATTAACAACATCACTCAACATCATCACACAACATCAACAACATTAACATTATCAACATCACTCATCACTCAACATCAACAACATCAACAACAACAACATCATCATCAACATCACTCAACAACATCAACAACATCAACATCATTAACAACATTAACAACATCAACATTAACAACATCAACAACATCACCAACATCACTGCCATCACCAACATCATCATCATCACTCAACATCAACAACATCACCAACATCATCATCATCACTCAACATCAACAACATCACCAACATCATCATCACTGAACATCAACATCACCAACATCATCACTCAACATCAACAACATCACTACCATCAACATCAACAACATCACCAACATCAACATCACTACCATCAACATCAACAACATCACCAACACCAACAACATCAGCAACATCAACAACATCACCAACATCAACAACAACAACTTCAACAACAACAACATCAACAACATCACCAACATCTCGATTTAAATCTTTCGTGACTGCAAGGATTCATCTTCTTTGGTTCTTTCGGTAAAGTCACCACCACGTAGAATGAGAATAAAATAATATAATAACACAATAAAATTCTCACGACGTTTCGGCCACAACACAAGCGGCCTTCTTCAGGTGAAAGGAACAGACCTATCGGGACGACAGAGCTTCAATGAACGTTGTTAAGATTCGTAGCGACTTTTTAAGCTGGTTTAGAGAGGTGAGGCACCTTGACAAAGGGGTTTACATATCAAACAGGAGAATTTAGCATTGAAATAGCTAAAGAAGATCAACAACATCACCAACATCATCACTCAACATCAACAACATCAACAACAACATCATCACTCAACATCACCAACATCGCCATCATCACCATCAACAACAACATTAACAACATCACCATCACCAACAACATCAACAACACCAACATCATCAACATCATCATCACCAACATCATCATCACCAACATCATCATCACTCAACATCATCATCACCAACATCATCATCATCATCACCAACATCACCAACATCATCATCACTCAACAACATCACCAACATCACCAACATCACTACCATCAACATCAACAACATCATCATCATCACTCAACATCAACAACATCACTACCATCAACATCAACAACATCACCAACATCAACAACATCACCAACATCACTACCATCAACATCACCAACATCAACATCATCACTCAACATCAACAACAACATCAACAACATCACTACCATTAACATCAACAACATCACCAACATCAACAACATCACCAACATCACTACCATTAACATCACCAACATCAACATCATCACTCAACATCAACAACATCACTACCAACAACATCACCAACAACAACAACATCACTACCATCAACACCAACAACATCACCAACAACATCACCAACATCAACAACATCAACAACAACATCACCAACATCAACAACATCAACAACATCTCGATTTAAATCTTTCGTGCCTGCAAGGATTCATCTTCTTTGGTTCTTTCGGTAAAGTCACCACCACGTAGAATGAGAATAAAATAAAATAAAATAATAAAATAAACAATAAAATTCTCACGACGTTTCGGCCACAACCCAGGTGGCCTTCAGGTTAAAGGAACAGACCTATCGGGACGACAGAGCTTCAATGAACGTTGTTAAGATTCGTAGCGACTTTTTAAGCTGGTTTAGAGAAGTGATGCACCTTGACAAAGGGGTTTACATATCAAACAGGAGAATTTAGCATTGAAATAGCTAAAGAAGATCAACAACATCACCAACATCATCACTCAACATCAACAACATCAACAACATCACTCAACATCACCAACATCGCCATCATCACCATCAACAACATTAACATTAACAACATCAACATCACCAACATCAACATCATCATCACTCAACATCACCAACATCACTACCATCAACATCAGCAACATCAACAACATCAACAACGTCACCAACATCAATAACATCACCAACATCAACAACATCACCAACAACATCAACAACATCACCAACATCAACAACATCACCAACATCAACAACAACATCACCAACATCAACAACATCACTACCATCACCAACAACATCAACAACATCAACAACATCACCAACATCAACAACATCACCAACATCACTACCATCAACAACATCAACAACATCATCACTCAGCAACAACATCATCAACATCACTACCAACAACATCACCAACATCAACAACATCACCAACATCAACAACATCATCACTCAGCAACAACATCATCAACAACATCAACAACATCAACATCAACAACATCATCACTCAACACCAACAACATCAACAACATCAACAACATCATCACTCAGCAACAACATCATCAACATCACTACCAACAACATCACCAAAATCAACAACATCAACAACATCAACAACATCATCACTCAACATCATCATCACCAACATCATCATCATCATCATCACCAACATCACCAACATCATCATCACTCAACAACATCACCAACATCACCAACATCACTACCATCAACATCAACAACATCATCATCATCACTCAACATCAACAACATCACTACCATCAACATCAACAACATCACCAACATCAACAACATCACCAACATCACTACCATCAACATCACCAACATCAACATCATCACTCAACATCAACAACAACATCAACAACATCACTACCATTAACATCAACAACATCACCAACATCAACAACATCACCAACATCACTACCATTAACATCACCAACATCAACATCATCACTCAACATCAACAACATCACTACCAACAACATCACCAACAACAACAACATCACTACCATCAACACAAACAACATCACCAACAACATCACCAACATCAACAACATCAACAACAACATCACCAACATCAACAACATCAACAACATCTCGATTTAAATCTTTCGTGCCTGCAAGGATTCATCTTCTTTGGTTCTTTCGGTAAAGTCACCACCACGTAGAATGAGAATAAAATAAAATAATAAAATAAACAATAAAATTCTCACGACGTTTCGGCCACAACCCAGGTGGCCTTCAGGTGAAAGGAACAGACCTATCGGGACGACAGAGCTTCAATGAACGTTGTTAAGATTCGTAGCGACTTTTTAAGCTGGTTTAGAGAAGTGATGCACCTTGACAAAGGGGTTTACATATCAAACAGGAGAATTTAGCATTGAAATAGCTAAAGAAGATCAACAACATCACCAACATCATCACTCAACATCAACAACATCAACAACATCATCACTCAACATCACCAACATCGCCATCATCACCATCAACAACAACATTAACAACATCACCAACATCACCATCACCAACAACATCAACAACATCAACATCATCATCGCCATCAACATCACCAACATCACCATCATCACCACCAACATCATCATCACCAACATTATCACCAACATCATCATCACCAACATCATCACCAACATCATCAACAATATCACCAACATCACCATCACCAACATCACCAACATCATCACTCAACAACATCACCAACATCATCATCACTCAACATCAACAACATCACTACCAACAACATCAACAACATCAACAACATCAACAAGATCATCAACAACATCAACAACAACATCACCAACAACATCACCAACATCAACAACATCAACAACATCATCACTCAACAACATCAACAACATCACCAACAACAACAACATCAACAACATCACCAACATCAACAACATCAACAACATCAACAACATCACCAACAACATCAACAACATCAACATCAACAACATCATCAACAACATCATCAACAACATCACCAACATCAACAACAACATCAACAACATCACGATTGAAATCTTTCGTGACTGCAAGGATTCATCTTCTTTGGTTCTTTCGG